TTCCCTTTCTCCTTGGAGTTGCTGGGGCACCCTAGTTATTTCTTATTACTAATAAAGTATAGATGAGTTCAAATAATTCACTTTCGATAGGTTAGGAGATGTTAAAAATAGACTCTCAAGTTCCCTCTGTAAAATGTCAAGCTCACACACTTGCATTCTGAAATCCTTTCTTGGCCAGGGAAGATGAGGTGCCGCCGTCTCGCCGGTGAGCCATGATCTGTACACAGCCCCGGGTGCACCTGAGTCCTGCGCCAGACCCGCCAAGAGCTCAGGGTGTGGCAGGGATCCTGGGCTGGGAAGTGCTGCTTAGAGGTTAACACACTGATTTTCTTCCTTGTCGTGTAACCCATCTCAAGTGCCTTCCTTGATTTCTGCTATTAACTCAGTGTGGCCTGGCATCCCCTCCATTGTTTGATTCATGAGAACGCCAAGCCCTCTGTAAGGCTTGTATGCACCATAGGGAAACACACACACACACGCTGGCCTTCATTTTGAGAGAGAAGGCTACGGAGGGCACTCCCCGTTTTACAGCTGCGGCTGCAGAGGGCAATGTGCTGTCTCAGTGTTCTTGTCTTTTCGGGGCTTGGCAGACACATGGCCCGGTGGAAGGGTCGTGTGCTTTCGTCTTATGGAAACATGGCCTTAAATTCCAGCTCTATTACCCACTGACTAGAGGACTCTGGTGCTGGCCTTGGGCTTGATGTTTTCAACTTCTCAGTAGACAGACCGTTGTCATGAGGCTAACAGGAAACCCTTAAGAGTTTTACACCCGATTTTCTTACTGCTTGCTGAGCCATTCATTTCATACTCAGTCTGCAAGAAGAAGGGCAGGGATTGTCACCTCCATTTTAGCGCGGAGGAAAATAAGTCTTAGGGATGCTAGGCAACCCGTCTGGGGCAGAGCTGGGTTTAGACCTGGACCCCAGCCTCAGGCTTGGCCCCGTGCCCAGTGGGGCACCCCTGCGCTGCTCTCCTCCTAGGAACATCCTCAGGGCTCAGGGATGGGAGAGAAAAAGTACCAGAGCGGGGCGGTTGCGTCAACCTCACAGGAAATCTGCCTCGAACCCCCGGCCTTGAATAGGGCACTGGCTTTTTGGTTGCCGTTGATTGCTTTTAAAGCAATACGGCATTTCTGGGTATAGAAGCCACCCAGAAACCCCTGAGCCAATGCGACCTTGAGGTCGGAAATAACCACATTATCTCCTGCCCCACTGCCTCACCACCCCACCCCCGGTGCGAGGACTCCCTCTTGGGAGCATGGATTGTTCTTGCAGGGTCCTAGACTGTTCAGTTTTGGGTTCTCCTCTGTCACTCAGGAGCTGACCTTTTCAGCCCTGACAGTGACCTTGAATCTGACTTGCTGTCCAGAAGCAGCTATGGCCACAAGTGTAAATTCTACTGGAGGCTTTGAGCGTCAGGGGATCAAAAGGGTCTCCTAGCAGTTTTGACACAGATCCCATAGCTGGTCCCAAGGGCCTACATCAAAGTCCCTAGCACCTCACGGAGAGTTCCTGTGGCTTGTCTGTGCTGCTGTCACCATCCTGAAGCTTGAAGCCCCTGCTGCCAATGTCTCCTCAACAGCGGCCCGTTGCCTCTGCCACGGTCCAGAGGGAATTCCCAGCCCTGACTTAGCATTGTCCCAGGGCCTGGGCAGGTGCACAGGGAGGAGTGGGAGGCAGTGTTAAGAGCACAGGCCTGGGAGTCAGAAGGGCTTCCTCCAATGCTGGCAGTGCAACATCTCCCTGCACACAATTAATCTCGCCCTTGGAGATTAGATGATAATGGCACGAGCCTCGGGGGCTTGTGAGGATGGAATGAGAGGATGCATATAAACTCCATGAAGGCTGGACTTAGTCCCTCTTTCCCTGGCTCCATCTGTTGCACCGAACAGCGGCCCCCACTCTACATGGCTGAATGAAGGTAGAGCATCGTGCCTGGAAGACCACGACGTTAGCCACGTCAACCCCACTGTCACTGTTACGTGCCCTCCCACTACCAGGAAAATACGTATCTGACCTGCAGATGGGGAGGGGTACATGGCCCCAGCTAGTAGCCCGGAAGTGCTGTTTGAGTGATGGTGGTCAGTGGGGAGACCGGCAGACTCCCGGCCTGAGAATGGAGGACATGACGTGTCTGCTGGAGTGTCTCGGTAGGCAGAGTCAGCGCGTGGGCATTTGGAGGCGGCCATGTATTCTTTCTTTATGAAAATAAAATAAAAAGTAAAAGAACCTTCAGTGGCGAAGGGTTTCCTTTCTCATTTCTTGTCTGCCAGACCACCAGCCAATGGCTGGGCACGTTGGGCCCGTGTGGCAGTGACTGGCTTATTCCAGGAATGACAAGCTCCAGGGGGACAGTGCAGGGGAATTGGGTCAGCAGGGGGTCACCCAGCAGGAAGACGGAAGAGCAGGGAGGGGACAAAGGGAGGAGTGGCTCCACCACAAGGCTCCACCCCCGAGGCGGCAGGTGGTCACAGAATTTATCACCATGACCTTCAGAGTAGCCAGAGCCTGCTGACCTCTGTCCGGCTGGTATCTCGAGAGTCCTGCTCACACGGAGGGCTGGAAGGATACTTGGTGCTCAGCTCCAGGACACGGCTGCAACCGTAGCCCGAGCCTTCCTGACCCTTAACGAGCGTCAAGGCTTTCAGTGGGCCTTAAACCTAAAGACATGCTCAAGATGTCGGACTCAGTGTGGTGGTGTGGAAAATGGCTCTGGGAAGCCTGGTTCTAGGCCTAGCTCTACAGTAATTAGCTGTGCCCTCGGGTAAGTCACCTTGCCTCTCTGGACTCCAGTGTCCTCACATATAGGCACTCATCTAGGGGGAGATATGGCGCTCTACAGGATCTTCTTCTTCTTTTTTTTTTTTAAGATTTATTTGAGAGAGAGAGAGAGCAGGGGTGGGGCAGAGGGAGAGGGAAGGAATCCCAAGCAGAATTCCCACTGAGCGTGGAGCCCCATATGGGGCTCGATCCCACGACCCCGAGATCATGACCTGAGCTGAAACCAAGAGTCGAATGCCCAACTGACTGGGCCACCCAGGCGCCCCTCGCCAGAATCTGATTGTGTTCTAATATTCCACAGTTCTACCTTTTCCCACCTGAATAATGGTCAGAGGAGGTATCATTTACTGCTGGCTCGTTAGGTTCCAGGTTCTATGCCAGGTATAGAGCAGGAGATGTCTCCTTTGGTCCTCATGAGCACCCTCTGTGGTAGGTGTTATTATTATTCGTATTACACAAAGGAGGGAACGGAGCATCCCAGAGGCTCATGGTGCTGGTGCTGGTGTTAGTCACCACGCTCGAGTTTATACAGAGCCAGTCTGTCCTTAAGCTGCAAAGTGCTATTCATCTTATGGATTAAATTTCTTTTCTTATCATTTCCTTTCTTGTTACGTACTCTCCTGTGGGAAGCACATGAAAAGTCAAGAGCTGGATGCTCCCTGAGCTCTGAGGGGGCAGTTTGGCGTGAGTGCCAGCCCACTAGAGTGGAGCCCACACGGCTGGAGTTCTCTGAATGGAACAAAGGCCCAAGGAGCAGGAGGGAGGCACAGGTCCTACAACCAACCAGTGTCTGCTTAGATGGAAGTTATTAATCTGGAGGCAGCAGGCTTGAGTGTGAGGCCAACCACCTCCTGGGTGTCGTTCCTGGTCAAGTCCTGTGACTTCTTTAGGCCTCAGTGCCTCATTTGTAAACTTTAGATAACAGATATAGTATATTGAGAGGAATGTTCAGAAAAGCCCTCTCTGAACCCTCCTGAATGTCACTCCTCCAGGCCTGAGTAGAGGGCTGGGCACAAGCACAGGATCTGAAAAATCTTTGCTCTGGTTGTGGGCCAGGCGGTGGCACCATGATTTTCTGGGTATTACCCACCTAACTTGTTTCACTGGAGAATATTAATCAACGCCTAACTCGTCTTGGGGATTAAAAGGACCTCTGCAAATGCAGCCCAAGGCCAGAGCAGAAATGGTCTGCTAGCAAACGCTACCGAAGAAGACATTACGAATCATATTGTGCGTTCCCACTCAGATCCATCCACTTAAGGAACCGCACCCGGGGGGGGGGGGGGCAGGACCCTGGACAGCAGTGTGATTCCATGCCTGGGTGCAGGAATTGGGGCACTGCTTCCTTAATTCCCTGAAAACCCAAAGGAAAAGTACAAATGAATAACAAGGTGAAATGACATGAAAGCCCATTTCTTCCCTTTGAGAAAAGCTGCCCACCCCCCACGCCACTAGCTGATAATGGCCACCCCTCATCAAATATTTATCCCAGCCCTCACAGTCCTCCATCCGCCTCCAGCATCGTGCCAGGGATGGAATTTGATTATTAAAAATGGTCAGGAGTGAGGCCGGCAGACTACAAAGTGCCTGGGATGGAAGGGGGGGGGTGGACATCAAAGCCCCATATTCTTCCTTAAAGGTCGTCTCTGGAAGCAGGGGCCTTCTGTTAGGCAATAAAACTTGCAGGGGTTCGAGGAGGGGGCCCCTGTGTGCCTCCCAGCCTCTGGGGCGGCGCTTGTTCTTTTCTTTCCTCGGCCGGTGGGCCAGAAGGGAGCTAAGCCCAAGCCCTGGGGCCAGAGGCCTGGCTCCAAGCCATGGGTTTATGAAAAGCAGGAGATACCCTGCCCCACTCAGACATGTGACTGTCTTCACTTTTAAGGCGGGGGGGGGGGGCTGGCATTTCATTAGTGCCCTGTTTGAAGCCTGCCCTTTGCAAAGCAGAAAATGAAGAGAAGAAAGCAAGCATGGAAGCGGATTTGAACAATCTTCTGGTGTCTGGAGTTTCTGAGGTCCCTTTGTGTGGCTTCACTCATTACAAGGGTGGAAGAGCCTGTTGGGCAAGAAACACGCCTGGTGTTTATAGTTTAATGGAACCCAGGGACCAATTAACCACACTGAGCGCCAACGGGCAAAGCATTTCTTAAAGGAAGAGGGAACTCTTATATTATTGCTTCCCCCCCGCCAATTTCCCCAAATAAAAGACAAATGCTATGTCAACAGTTTCTCAAGAGCGATCCTTTATTTTCTGAAAGTCCTAACACTGACCCATTTATCACAACATGACGGATGCCCCAGTCTCCACAAAATATCCTTTTCTCTCTCGCAAATCCTTGGAGCCCCGAGAGGCTGCAGCCTGGTCCAGGCAGTGGCATCAAAACCTGCCCTCCACACCCAGCAGCTGCACCACGGCCTCCTGCATGGCCTGATGCACGCGCCCGACCTCTCTCTGGGACAGGGTTCGCTCCATGTGGCGGTAGGTGATGCGGTAGCAGTGGCTGGTCTTCTGCGTCCTGGAGAACAGAAGAGAAAGGCAGGTGAGTGAGGGACAGGCGTGCCCACTGCCTACAGGGGCCGTGCTGGTGGCTCCGACCTTCTCAACCCCAGTGGAGAGCTGAGGATGGGATCCAGTCGGTAGAGGGACATCGCTCGCACTAACGGCCTCTTACGGGCTTCGTGGGAGGTGGTGTTAGGGGAACTCTGACTTGAATAATCAGGACTGCGGCTTCCCACTGGCCCAGAGGCATTCAAGTCCCCTGGCAAGGGCATTTCTTATGCATCTGATTTTCCCGGGGCCAAGCTCTGGAGATCGAGGTCCAGCAGGTGGGATGTGGGTTCTGGGCTTTTGGGCTTTTTGTCGGCTCCCCAGGGGACTCTGATAAGCAGAGAGGTTTAGGAACCAAGGCCAGTATGCCTCCACCTTTCTCACAGCACAGAAAACAATCACGGGTGGAAAGCACACTGGGGTCCCAAGGCTGGGACTGGCCCCGGGGGCTCTAGCCCTCTAGAAGGCTGAGAGGTATCACTCTCTTCGCATCCCTGTAGGCCATGGAAAGCATACAGACAATTGTGCCATATGGACATGCTTCCAAGGTCCAGGTAGTGGGGCCTTTTGCAGAACTGGGTCTTCACAGAGACATGTGACAAGCCCCAGCACTGCAGCGCCCAGGTCAGATGCTCCGAGCACATGCTTCAAGACGCTCTCTCCACCGGCGCACCTCTGTGCTGCAGATACACCGGACGGCCTCACGGTGCTGCTGGAAGGGCAAGGCCCACCCTGCTGGGGTCCTTAAGAAACTGTCCAGTGCAGAGGTACAGCCCACTGTGCCCTCCTGCACTGCGTCTCCCGTGGCTGCTGGAAGGCCCCACTTGGCCTCCCCCGGGACAGAAGACAGGCTTTTCTTTCAACTGGATGCCATCAAAACTGGATGCTGCAACATCCTGAGTTTCTGAGACAGGAGAAATGAGTTAAGGAGGGAGGAAGAGGGCAGAGGAATTGTAGATGCCTGAAGATGATGCAAACGTTTACGAGAACAAGTGTGGCCTTGCGATCGGGGGGCCCAGGTTGTCAGTGACCTGGAGACGGTGCAAGGGTGTGATGGTTTCCTGTGTGTGTGTGTGCAGGGGGTGGGGGGGTGAGCACTGCCAGGTCAAGCTGCGTGCACTGCAGGGGACCGCCTCTGCCCGCCCTCCAAAGTCCCTGTCCGAGAGAGGGACACAGAGGCCCCTTACGAGGTGCAGCAGACCAGGGTCCTAGCACTGGCTCCTCCATCTCTGGGCCATGACACATCTTTCCTGGGTCTCCGTTCCTGCTCTGTTGAAAGAGCTAACAGCAGCGCCTACTCCCCCAGGCTTTCCAAACAGTTGCAGAGACCTACTTAGAAAGTGACAGGGCTCTGCAAATTATGAAATGCCACACAAGTGTGAGGCCAGAGTATCCCTGTGGCAACTGTTAGTACATTTTCTCGTTGGTTTCCTCTGGCATCTCTTACTTAGCTGAGGAGCTGGTAATATGGCCACTCGACAAGTTGAGATTTCCAACCCAAAATGAAAAATTTATCATCTTGTTTCTGTGTGCTTCAGAGAAGGCCCCAATTCAAACAGCTTTTATAAAACATTTCGATGAGTGAGGTGTAAATGAATCATAAACATATGGATTAATTTCATAAATTGAGAGAAATAAAATTGGCAGAATATTTGGTGATAATTCCATAGATTCAACTGAAAATCAACCAGCTTTGCCTTTTCCTACCATCACTGGTGAGAGAGAGAAGACTTAGTTTTATTTGTTTTCTAGGAACTCCTTTTTTTTTTTTTTAAGATTTAATTTATTTATTTGAGAGAGAGAGAGAGCGTGCACACATGCGAGCCGTGGGAGAAGCAGAGGGAGAGTGACAAGCAGACTCTATGCTGAGCGTGGAGCCTGATGTGGGGCTCGATTCCAGGACCCTGAGATCATGACCTGAGCTGAAATCAAGAGTCAGATGCTCAACCGACTGAGCCGCCCAGGCGGCCCATTGTTTTCTAGGGACTTCTTTTTGGAGCTTTTAGTTGCTGGGACACACTCCTGTCCTTTTGCTTGTTGGAGAACTGGAAGAAGTGGTGCTGCCGTTGGTCATGAGGCTCCTCGTCCTCGAGGAGCGGGCTCACCACAGGAACCACCGAGTCACAGAACTGAGGGATCTTGTGGCTTATCACTGAGTAGGTAAGGAGATGGATTCCTCCAAAGGAGGGATGCCCTCAGTGCCCAGCTCCAAGTATGCAAATTAGAGCTCTTTTGATTCTTTTATACAACCCAATGTGGGCCTTTTTAGTCAAAAAGCTTCTCAATCTTGTATCTGCCATGACATTCACTGTCGCTCAATACACGAGCAGCAAACATTTCTGTAGTGAGTCCTGCACACCGGGCATCATTCGAAGCCCTTTGCAGGCGTTCACTCCTGTAAGCATCCAAACCCCATGGAGTACACAGCATTACTGTCCTGGTTATACAAATGAGGAAACTGAGGAAAGGAGCACAAAGTAACACGCCCAAGTTGAAACAGCTACTAAGTGGCAGGACTGGATTTGAAACCAGGCAATCTGATGGGAATGTAGATGGTGCAGCCACTGTGGATACAGTTTGGTGGGTCCTCAAAGAGTTAAACAGAGAATTACCCTATGACCCAGCCATTCCACTGCTAGGCATATATCCAAAAGAACTGAAAGCAGGTGCTCAAACAAACACTTACATGAGAATTTTCACAGTAGCTCCATTTACAACAGCCAAACAGGATATGGCCATCAGGGAGATGAAGGGATAAACAAAATATGGTATATCCACACCATGGAGTATTATTCAGTCATTAAAGGAATGAAATACTGACACTTGCTACAATGTGGATGAACCCCAAAAGCAGACTGAATGAAAGAAGCCAGACACAACAGATCATGTACCACATCATTTCATCCACACGAAACATCCAGAAGAGGGCAATTCATATGGACAGAAAGCAGACTGGTGGTTTCCAGAGGGTGGGGGAAGGAGGTATGGGTAGAAACTGCTTAACCACGGACTCCAACAGAAGTGTCTGTTACAGACCCCACTGGAAGAGTCTCAACAGGAGAGTCATCAATTACAGTCCCCCACGGGGAAAGATGTACATCACATCTCCTTCAAGAGATCCACCACCCGTGAAACTCAGCCAGTGAGAAACCGTCATCACCCCGACTCTTGCTTCTCTCCAGTGGACTTCTGTCCAAAATGACCCCTCTCAACCTCCTCCATCTCCATAAAATAATATTCTTCTCTTTTGTTTGTGGGATTTGCCTATGGTTGTGCCATAGCTGGCTTGTTCCAGACTGTAATTCTCTGCTATTCCCAAATAAACACAGTTTGCTGGGAAGATCACTGGCCGTTTTAAGGTGAACAGTGGGTACGAGGTATTCTTCTGGGGTGAAGGAAATGCTCTGGAACTAGGTAGGTAGCATGGTTGCCTAACATTGAGAACGTACTAAAGGCCACTGAACCGCCCACTTTAAAAATGGTTAATTTTCACCTCGTTACAGACACACACGGACGAGGCAGTTTGGTTTCAGAGCCCAAGTATTAAGGAGCAAGCCTCAGCGCTCCAGCACGCTCTTCCTCTCTTCCTGTCCCACCTCCAGCCTCTCCCTTCCACCCCCAACTTCCCCTAAGAAGTGACAGGGCTTGCAAGCTACTGAGAAGGGTAATGTCTGTAATCCTCCTGCTCAAGGAGGAGATGGAGTAAGCCCATGTTCCTTTCTAGCTCAGCCCTGTGACTAACAGAGAGCACAAAGCCACACATGAGGTATAACTGTGACACGGAGTGAGAAGCTCTGGGACAGGGATGCTTTTTAATAAAGGCCTTTCCTACTTAAGGGGCCATTAAAAGGGCAGGCTGCGAAGCCAAGCAGCTGTGGGGAATAAGAGAGCTGTGGGGAGAGTATGGGATGGGGGTGTGTGTGTGTGCAGCTGCAGCTCTTGTTCCGCCCCCCTCCCCGGGCAGTGGTAAGCTGCCAGAGCGCCCGCCCCCGCCAGACTCACAGGGGCACAATCTTCAGGACGAGAAACCTTCCCCGGAGGAGAGAAGAGACTACATTGACAATTGTGGTTTTCAAGGTAAACAAAAGTTCTCTCTTATGTACTTGATGGTTTCTATTCATCGGCAAAATAAATGAGAAGACTCATTACTGAGTTTGAGAGGGCAAATCTCACTACAGTGAGTTTGAAGAAAGAATCTAAACCTTTCTTTTGGTGTTGGCATTTCATTGCATTGGGATATTGGCTAAAACGAGTAGGTCACTGGCTGGAGCTTGAATTTTTAACAGAGATTTAGAACATTTGAGTTTCAAGCGTTTATCACTGGTCTACTCACAGATTCCTTTAGTCTTTCCACAAATAGCATGTTCCAGGCACTGAGCTGCACAGAGGTAAGCAAGTGAGGAGAACCCCGACCCAACCAGCTCACACCCGGGGACCAGTGGTCCGCCAGGGTCCTGCAGCCACCAGGGAGGAGCCTGAGCGGAGGACCGTTCCCTTCATGGCCGTGATGGGGCTGGTGCTGGCTGTGACATCAGCCACGCTGCACTCCCCCCACACATCCTCCTTCAGCAAATGATTCTTCCCTCTGGTGCTTCCCTGTGAGCATCTCTGGGGTGAACACACAGGCGTGGGAGGCAGGAGGCCTAGTTCCCAGTCCAAGCCCCAGCAATGTCTGTGTGGCCTCCTCAGTGAGAGGGCCAGACTGAATGGGCCCAAAGCTCCTTCAGGCTCTAACATTCCAAGAGTTAGTGCAGAGGACAGATGAGTTTCTAGAGTAAATGCACATGTGGAGGAAATGAGCCAGCCAGCCAGCAGCATTTGTGAGCCTGCATGGAATGAAAGAGCAGGGGCCCTGATCTGGGGCAATTTCCAGACAGGCTAATGCATGGACATAAGATGCATTAGTGATATTAGTGATCAAAGCAAGAGGGAAGGGAGTTGGCTTAATGGGGATGGGTTACAGCTTGA